GGGGGGGGGGGGGAGGGGTGAAGTGTGTCGCATTGATTGAAGAAATGTTGTACTAACTCCTTATCCAGTTTTGAATAATCTCCGTCCCATAAACTAGCTTTTAAGATTGAGCTAGGTTAAAAACTTATTTTTTTATATTATTCTCGATCTCATGCGGATCTAGTTTTTAAATTTAATTGGCTGGTATAAAATACTACAACTACATTTATTAACCTTTAACTAAACAAGAATACAGACTTTGTGTGTCTTTTATATATTTTCTAAAATATTCAGTTATAAAGGTATAAATCAAAAGATAAGTACCACTACAACAAATTTCACTTGAGGCCACCAGAAACGCGTTGCTAAGATATTTGCAGGCATGCTTTTATTTGTGTGGCCTTTATTACAAGCTTTTGGCAACGATTACAAGAATCCAAAATATAGCGAGCTTAAACACGTATCAGCCTCTTTAGGCCCAAGGAAACTTTATGTTGGACTATATACATGATACAACAAGTATTTATACTGTATTTACCATTTATAATTATACTTTTTTTAAAATACCATTCGTATCTATATTTAAATTTTGTAGCCAAAAAAAAAATTCACCTATGGTATTGAAACAAAAGATCAATAGTTTTGAACTGTAACAAGGGAGCAACAAGCTCTTGTAGTTCAGTTGGTTGGAGCACTCACTTATTAAGCAAGAGTTTTGAGTTTGACTCTCAATAAGAGCATTTTATTTTTTGTATGGGTTGTACAGGTTGTATCCTTGGGAAGATGAAGAGTGGGGGTGGGGGGCAGAGTTTTTATTTTCCAGTTTTTCTTTTTTTTCCTCGATTTATGACACGTGTCAGATGCTTATTGGCGCGTGTAATAGCAATCTTTAAGCATATGTGGTCAAACACCAAAGTGGTGTGTAATTGACACACATGACACCTTTAAAAGTTTTGGCGTGTAATATTATTCATGTATATAACAGGTGTGTAAGAGGGATTTGGAGACAAGGTCGATGGGTAAAATATGTATTTTGCCTATATTTTATTGGCTATTATATTTTAGAGCGGCTAAAACTTTATATTTCTCAATTTATAGTAAGCTTACTACACTGATTGTAAATGACAAAGTAATTAGAGAATTTGAGCGTGTCGTGCAGTTGTAAAAAACTTTAAAAAATCAGTAAGCTTATACTTCATTTCATATGAATTGCCCAAAGTCATCTAAATCACAAAAACTATTAAACTCAATTCACTATAAAAATATTTAAAATTAACATTTTTATTTGCACGTAAAAAATAACAATATTGCAGCAACTGCAAAATATGATATAGTGCGGTGACAGACTGGGCACATACCAGAATTGGTCGTCCATCCATGGATGCAATGAGGGTGAACTTGTGGCTGCATGGAAGCTCGACTTCTCCTCCAGTCATTGCTTCCCAGCAGATCATACAATTCTTTACATCCTGCGTCTCCTCTGCAGGATGCTCCTGCATCTCTATGTCCATGTCCATTGGATCATCTCGGCTACATAGATACCACCTCCCAATGCAATAATAAATGCACGTGAATGCTATCAGAGCCCCAATAAAAGAGTAAGATTTAAGCATGCTCTGACCAGCTACCACGATGGAGCACGTGTTGCGCAACAACATGACATCCGAACAGTAGAGTTAGCCCAGTGTATAACAATACCATCTAGGCGAGTCTTGATAACCCTAATAAAAGAATTAGGAAACCAACCAAAATGCAAGAAGGCAAGAGGAAACCAACCAAAATACAGCTCGTTCTGGCAAAATGCAGGGCAAATGGAATGATCGTATAAGTGTGAGGAAGTTTTGCACTCTTTATATAACAAGAGGAATGACCGAGATATCGTGTGCGCCTCACGTGCATCATGCTTGCATCTTCTGTATATTAGTAAAAACCTTTTTAAAATATTATATATTTTCAAACTCTATGTATGACATATAAAATAAAATTAAAAGGAAAAAAATCTCAAGTCATATATGTATATATACATGTCAAGTCAAATTCTTATCACCCTTTTATTTAATAATTGGATGCGTTCTTGTATCACTTAATGTTTCTTTGATGGCTATAAATAACAGAAAAATATTGCATTGACTGAAAATCGGTCATACGAAGCGTAGAAGTGCAATGCATAAGGCACAGAATGACTAGAATAGTTAAAGAAAAATTTGGGAGAGCAGTTACCTTGGCTGGGGTGGCAGCTATGATATACCAGATATGGAAGGCCAAAAATGAAACTCTTTGGAAGCTAAAAGTACCAAGACCCAGCTGGTTTCTGACCAGGTTAAACAAGACTGTAAGTAAAGATGTTTTGACATTCTGAAAATTGGACTGCACATCAAAGGAAGAGGATAGATAATAGAATTATACATATAGACAAACACAAAATATAGAATGAGAATATATATGGAAAATGAAAAGTAAGATATAGGATATAGGGGACATAAGGGACAGTTAGGTATATGATATAAGGTAGAATGAGAATGTACATGGGAAATGAAAAGTAAGATATAGGATACATAGGCAGAGTTAGGATTTGAGGTGTATGGGTTCTAAATTATAAGACAAGATTATGACCTAAAACTAATATACAATAACAAGCTGACTAAAGAATGAATATCAATATCTAATATATGTTTAAAAAGTAACGAACCAGACAAACACAATATATGAATATAAACACTATCATTTCAATTGCACTCGACGACTTGTCATGTTTTGAAAACGATCAATGATCGCATCATTAGGTACACTTTCAAATACTTCATCCTCTATATAACAAACTAAACAATCATTCAAAAAGTCATCACCAATTCTGCTTAGCAAGTAATTTTTAATAAATTTTTTGAAGTAAAAGCCCTTTCGACCATTGCAGTAGCCACAGGTAATATCAAACTCAGCTTCACAAGCAAGCAAACAAGTCCTCATGTCTTGTAAATATTTGTTTTAACCAATGTCTTCAAGAGATCGCCAAGCCCTTTCAAGTTAGAGAATGCATTGTCCATTTCTCGCTCATAATCAATATAGTTGTCAAGCTCAAAACTAAGATTTTCAAGGTTGGAAGTAGTGAACTCATTTGGATAATATATAACAAGTTTTATAATCTTGTTTTTATCATGATTTGCAAAAGAATCATCGGAACTCAAACTAGTCGTACCAAGAAGCAGATCAATATTCACTTTACTAAAACGACTATTAAGCTCCGAAAGTTGCAAATCAATAGCGGCACAAGAAACTTCTACGTGCAAATGATAAGAGTACGTAATAGTTGAGCTTTTATGCTTTGAATTTCGAAGACCATACTTCTCATCCATTTTTGGGATCACAATACAATTCTTATCACAACGAAGAGACATCTTCTATCAAAGAATTCCATTTAGTTTCCCTCATTGTTTGCAATTACCTCTTTGTGAAATGAACAAGTTTTATAGCACTAATAATATCTTGATATTTTCTTTGTAGAGCCATATTAAAATTATATCTAATTGCCAATATTTTTAACATTAAATGTAATGTATACACAAACTCATAAGATCTTATATCTTCCACTAAACTTTTTGCCAGTGCTTTCTCCTGATAATTTGAACCCTCATTTGCAAGAACTCCAAGTACATGAATAATTGATGAGAATAAAGAAATAAAGTTAAGCAATGTCTTAGAGTGTGATCCCCAACGGGTATCACCTAGTCTTTAAAGCCCAAGTTCTTGATTTAAACCACTTCCTGTATGAACTTCACCAAGCACTAATAACTCATCTAATTTTTCAGCTTGATCACCTCTAAGCATCTCCCTACGCTTATAAGAACCTCCAACAACATTCAAAACATTAGCTAGAATGTTAGAAAAATTATTTATATCATGATGTTTCTTTCCAAAAGCTACAAGAGTCAATTGCAATTGATGAGCAAAGCAATGTACGCAGTATACCAAAGGATTATCTTTTAGAATCAAAGCTTTAAGACCATTGATTTCTCCTTGCATGTTACTAGCTTCATCATACCCTTGTCCCCGTATTAGAGATGAACTCAATGAATATTGTAAAAGCAAAGAATTTATTATTTTTTATGATACATGTGTAGTTGTATCTTTAACATGAACAAGACCAAGGAAT